TCAGGTTTTGCTAAAAAGTTCAAACTCAAGGATGGATCAGTACCCACTGTTCCTAATCCAGCTCACCTCCAGAAGTAATTATATATATATATATATAATTACTTCTGGAGGTGAGCTGGATTAGGAACAGTGGGTACTGATCCATCCTTGAGTTTGAACTTTTTAGCAAAACCTGACTTAAATTGTCCCTCGTTCAGAAAGCAGTCTGGAGTAAAATGATTTGCACAGACATAAACTAACTTGGGTGTATTCGTTGGTGCATTAGCATCAAAAACAAAACTAATCCACTGCGTCCTCAGTGGCTCTTATGTCGGGAGAAAATGAAGACTCTCATGTTCACTTTTACATCCAACTACAAAACACCTGCATTGCTTACGAGTCTTTGTTTTCGCTACAGCTGCTCGAGCGCGGAAAAAATAGCGGACAGCGTACGACTGGCTGAGGGTGAAGATATGCTAATACAGGGTAGTCCGTCAGTGGTCGTGGGTGGGGCTTGTGCAATATGATGTCATATTGCTCAGAAAATCAAAACGGCTTGATTATTAAGACTGTTTAGGTTTTTTGGGGATTAAAAAAAAAGTAGTGAATGGAATGGATTCTTATCATTGTAGGGTGGTTGTGTCCACACACTGCTAAGACACATGCAAACACCACGTAAAAGTGAATTTTGCGTCCGATGTCCCCTTTAAAATAATGACATTTTAGTATTTGAATGTTATAAATATTTATGCTCCTCTTTAAAAATGTCATTGTCAAAAATAGCTTTTTGTGAGTGTAATTGTGTTTATGAAACTTTTTAATTTTGTTATCTTACATAATTACTTAAAATCATGGAAATTCATTGGTTGAAGCTGTGGGAACCCTGTTTGAATTTAATAACTAAATTCATTAAATTAGTCTTGAATACTTTTTAAATATATTGTGTAGTTTTATTTTGGCGGCTTTCTTGATTGTCTTGGAATCTGTTTTAAATGATTCTCCCCTTTCTGTTTTTGCAGATATTCAAATTAAAGAAGAGCCAGAGTCCGATGATTGGCCAAATTCCACCCTGAACACCAATGATTTGTCACATTTCCGTGTTCGGTTGGTTGAGGAGGATAAGGAGGGGACAGGCCTAGAGGGAAAGAGACTACGTAGAGTAGCCTGTACTTGCCCCAATTGCAAAGAGGCTGGAGGAAGGTAATGCACATGTCAATAGAGAGGCACAAATACTGTTTTAACAGCTAATTAATGATTTTTAAAACTGTTTCAGAGGTTCAAGTATGGGAAAGAAGAAACAACACATTTGTCATATCCCAGGGTGCGGTAAGGTGTACGGTAAGACGTCTCACCTTCGAGCTCACCTGCGCTGGCATTCTGGAGAGAGACCCTTCGTTTGCTCATGGAGTTACTGTGGCAAGAAATTCACCCGCAGCGATGAACTCCAGCGTCACCGCAGAACACACACAGGTATGGCCACACTGGAAGAGATCAGGATTACATCATATATTTCATTTGGTCCCATTATATATGAGAATCCAACACTTTCTGTAAATTTTGTTTGTTTTTCCAGGCTGATAGACTGAAGAATAGCTCGATATTGAAGGTAGTTTTACATTTACATTTTTGTTTTTCAGGAGAGAAGAAGTTTGTGTGTCCAGAGTGCTCGAAACGTTTCATGCGCAGCGACCATTTGGCGAAACACATTAAAACTCACCAGAACAAAAAAGGGCTAAACTCCAACACAGGGGCAGGTCAGACAGATGCTGCCGCCCCCTCGGACACCATCATCACGGGGGGTGGAGCCACTTTCATCCTCACCAATCTGCAACACAAATACTGATTCTTTTGTATCAAAGACTTCTCGTTTTGATTACTTTTTAAACATGTAAAATTTGATGTTACTTTTGTACAACTTTTTTTTTTTCTCAAATGCAACACAATTAAAGTCGGAAACCTTCCTATGACTCTTCATAACTAAAAGTTTGTTTCAAAAAGTTTCAAATTTATGGTGTTGGTATGTATGCACTGAATGAGAGAATTAAACCTATGCCCAAATACCTCATAATACTGGCTATTAAAAATAGCATACTGCCATACAATTATTCCAGCTGTTTATAGTATGTATACAGTGCACAGTATGTGGAAGATAGAATGCCTGGATGCCTTACTTTGCAGAAACTTCAATGCACACTGTGCTTTGTATATTGTATCCCACAATGCAATGTGTTCAACTTAACTTTACATTTAAAGTCTGATGAAGGTCTCAGAAGTAATTTTTTGTTACATTTTTACACAACTGGACACATTTTTTATTAAATTAATGATTAAATGCAAAATAATTGTTTTTATTTCTGAGATACCTGGACCCCATTCACTGAATTAAACATTGATGAAGCATACAGCTGTTTGAAACATTTGTCACTGCGCGAATTCTGTTTATAACATAGTAGGCTGTATACAGTATATACTGTGTAGTATTCTGTAATATATTAGGCTGTTTGGAATGGAATAATATTAGCTTACTCTATGCTGAATACTGCCTACTACTTTTAGTAAGTGAATCAGCAGGCAAGATGCAACAATACGGTATGCTTTGTTCTTGTCATCTGACCTTATGTTGCATGTTTCAAATCCAGGAAATAAAATGATATATTTTTTGTGTAAAATATCGTTTCTGTTCATTTCGAAGTCCAATAAAATAAAGAGGTCAAATTGGGCTGTTAATTCAGGTTCGTTCATCTGGAAATGGAAGATCAAGTCATTTACATTGCATTATGGGAAGCAGTATGGTGCACAGTGTTATGTTGTATTGTGCAAAATTCGGAAAATGTCAGAGAAAGTCAACATATTGTGCCCTGTATCCATACTCTATACTTAAGGAATAGTGAGAATTGGTAAAAATAGAATAGAAAATAGAAAGCCTACTGTATCATATTTTATACAAACATTTCTAAAGCCTCTAAATGAAAAACTTTTAACAGTTTTGATTGATAGTTTATACTTATTGCAAATTAAATGGCATTTTTAGTATAATTCTAAAGTAGTCCTCCTTCAGGTAGTGGTACACGTGCCTTTTTGCTGATTTTTTTTTTTTTACTCATTTTTGTGAATGTAAGTAGCTTATTGTTAACCATATTTCATGATGAATACTTACTGGACTGAAGCAACTTAGGTTTACTTGATTATCCATTAATGCAATTTTATGGCAGAAATTTGCTATATTGTTATAAAGAGGTCATTGATTTACATTACAAGCTATTAAAAGTCCATACTTTTTGACCATATAAAAATTTACGGCAACTGCTTTAAATTGCTTTTTTTTTTTTATTGTGGGCCTTTGAATAAAATTGGTGAAAAAAGGTGTTCTTCCTCGAGTGTGAGCTTCATATTCTTCTATATCATACTATGTTTAGCCATAAAAGCCTGATGCATTGTATATGATGCTCAACAAAAACACATAGCACCATTTTTAAATGTTTATTTTAAATATTTTGTTGATTACCTATTGAGTATGAGTATGTGGAATTATATGATTTACTGCCACCAATTGGATGGACTAAAACTTAATTCTTCATAAAAAAAATAAAAAAAAACAACAGGCATAAACTTTGGCATCAGTAGAAGGCAGTGTGCTTCTCTTAAAGGTGTAAGTTTGAGGTCACAGTCTGCTTTAGTTTTAAGTTGCTGCTGTTTTAATATATCTTCTGAATGTGCTTCAGAACTATACATTGATTTTAAAATACATGTTTATTACATGAAAGATGGTGCATCAGATCATCTTAAAATGTGTGCACTGTAAAAAATGTATAAATAAAAAATAATACTGCAAAGCAAATTACAGTTAATTGCTGTATGTGAAATACAGTAATTTGTAGTATTTTTACAATAACATTTAATTAAACTTGTAGTTTATTTTACAGCAATATTTTGTAATTTCACTAAATTACAGTATTTACCTGGCAACTAAAGTTGCCAATAAAATCCTGTAAATACCTCAAAATTCAAGATGATGTAATAATTTAACAATGAAAATGCTGTAAAGAATAATTTTAACAGTAAACTGTAAAATACTGATTTAAATGAATTATCATGAGCACTATCTTAATACATTTACAAATGAATAAAAACCAAGTCAAAGATGTTGCAAATAAATATTTATTAAAACTGGCAGAACATTACACATTGCAAGGCTTTTACTGGTAAAATAAAATATTCAGTCTTTCAACAGTTAAAGGGGTCATATGATGCTTTTTTAAAGATCCTTATTTTGTGTATTTGGTGTAACAGAATATGTTGACATGCTTTAATGTTCAAAAAACACATTATTTTTCAAATACTGTACATTATTGTAGGTCCTCTATGCCCCGAAATGCTGCAAAGAATAATTTTAACAGTAAATTGTAAACTGTAAAATACGGATTTAAATGCATTATCATGAGCACTATCTTAATACATTTACAAATGAATAAAAACCAAGTCAAAGATGTTGCAAATAAATATTTATTAAAACTGGCAGAAAGACATTGCAAGGCTTTTACTGGTAAAAATAAAAATGTCAGTCTTTCAATAGTTAAAATCTTATCACAAAAATAACATTGCATCACAAAATAACTACAAATCCTTGTTATATCACAAAAAACAAGCCATATTCTGAGTAGAACATTAACTTTCTATAAAAATGAAGGTCAATCAACAGAATTTGTATAAATTTGCCAATTTTTTTTTTTTTTTTAAGAAAAGGATTAAAATAAAATGCTGGAATCAACATTACCACAAATTCTGTTGTTTGAGCTTATGTTCTATTAAATTAAGAATATTCCTGCAAAAGACAATTTTATAAATACATACTGAAAGTCCATCAACTTTCTGAGATGAACACACACATGAGGGTTGTCCCTCTTCTCTGAGACCGTTCCACTTGTTTTGCCTCTATGTATCCGTCTTGTATCCAGTGAGTGTTGTGATTCCAACAAAACATCTGCACATAAAAACAAGCAGAAGCTTTAGAATAAAGTTCAATATTGAATGAAACTAGCTCAATAAAATGAATGTAAAAATGCCACTTATACAATACAATCAGCATTTGCCAGTACTTAAACTAAATAAGTAACCTTTTTCACAAATGAAATTACTCAAGTAAAACATGTTACCTTTGAAAAAATGTAAGTGTGCAAAAGATGCCTGCTCCCGGGACGCCAGACTGAAGTTGTAATAAGACTGCAAATCCAGCCACAAAGTTAAGGTATGAATTCACAAACGTCTGACCCTCGAATAGTCAAAAGCCACTGGGTTCACCTGAAATGAATAAATATAAACAATAATGTAACCTACAATACAGTATTTCAATATAAAATTGTATCTAAAATACAAGTTTATCAAATGATTTACAACAGAATTAATAGGCCTACATTACCTACAGGGGCGTACATTTCATCTAACATAAAATTTCTCAAGAGCAATTTTGAAGGGGACACAAATAATCCAGCTAAAATTGTATTTGTAAGGATATGTATACACAGAGGAAAGCCTTACTGCTATTAGTGCAGCAGGGAGACCGTGCCAAATTAGACAACTTCAAACTGATATAAAGTTGGTTCGACGTTTGTCAGAGATATGTTTTTTTAACGATTTAGCACAAGGACAAGAAACATAATGTGTTGTTTTCAAACAGGATAGGGACCGTCTGCAAAGTGCAAAACCAAGAGCAAAAAGCACAATTAATCCATCTAAATGCTTCAGTTGTGAAATGTATAAAAAATAAATCTCAGATCTAAGGGGTGTGTCTTATTACTGGTTAAAAAAAAAGAACATTTAGATGTTGGTTTTATTCACAGAACTATAGCGTTTCTAAGGGTGTGTCTTGATACTTGTTCCTAAAAGAACATTTCAATGTTGATATTATTCACATAACTATAAGACTTATTGAAATGTAAAAATTGATAAAAAGCTAATTAAGATGTGCAGTACACCGCCCCCTAGAGGAACACATTGCAGTTGTTTTGTTTTGACTGAGTTTAAAAAGGTTTTATTCTTTTGCTGAAATGTTTGTCTTGCCCAGATGTTTCTTGCTCAAATAAAAATGATATGAGTGGCTTACATGCTTTGTTTAAATGTGCATGTATAAATGTCTTTTATCTGTGTTTGTGTGTAGACTAATCGTGCAGTGGCTCATTTGGAGAATGAGATGTCTAAGCTTCAACAAACAGCCAGTCTGTTCGAAGTCAGTTTCCCTGACTACAAACAACTTCGACAGTGTCGGTCAGACATCATCCTGGTAAAAGCAGTCTGGGATATGGTTATGTTTGTTAAGGTAATCTTTGCTGCACACAATATCTACAGTACACTCTAAAAATGCTGGGTTGTTTCAACCCAACTTTGGGTCAAATATGGACTAACCCAACTTTTGGGTTAAAAATTTAATTAAAAAATTTAACCCAACAGCTGGGTTAGTCCATATTTGACCCAAAGTTGGGTTGAAACAACTTACACACATACAGAAAAAGTCATTTAAAGTTTTTCTTGATCTCTCCAAATTTTGCCCCAGTATTCTCCTCTGGTTGGCATCCTCTTGGGAATGATGGGTAATGTAGTCCAGCATCTCAGACTGGACTAAGACTCCATGGAAGGAGATTAACGTAGAACAGATGGATATGGAGCTTAGAAGGTTTGCTAAGGTACAATTTACATTCTAAAAGTCTGTCTTTCTTCAACGTTCACCATATGCACAAAATGAGAAAGAAATCCAGTCATTGGATGAGTTGTATGACAGATACCAATTAAAGGGGACATAACATACAATTTCTTCCAATCTCATGTTAATCTTGAGTACCTATAGAGTAG